TAGCAGAATAAATGTACGTCTTAAATGCTGAAAAATATGCAAATGCTTTAATAAATAGAATGATAAATGGTTATTATTATTATTATTATTAAGAGGGAAGGGATTCAGAGAACAATTTAGGGATTCGGAAATAGATGGCTGTCGTCTTCTAATTGAAATAGAAGAATCCGTGTTCTGTTTGTCTTTTCCTAAACCGAGGCGCGACAAAGTCTGGTTTTGTGAGCATTCGCCGCGTGAGTCGGTCAAAGTTTTATTATAAATTAAGCCATTGTTCAATGGCTGATAAATTAAGCGTTAAATATTGTTACATTTTCAAATTCAGAATCCATGTTAAATTAAATTAAACAATAAATAAGAAACCGATATTACGGGGCGAGCGGTTTTAACAATTTTGTTTCTCGACATATGGTAATCACGTTAGAAAAAATTTCTTTTGAATGAGAGCGCTTTCTCAAATTAATCAGATGAACTTATCTTTAGTATATATATATATATATATATATACTTCAATAAAACTCTGGCAAAATAAAAATTGTGAAGCAATGTTTTTAGTAAGTAGACACTTGCTTTCCAACCAAAAACTTAAAACTGATATTTAGTTTCCTTCAGATTTTTTGCCATTTTATTTTAGAAAAGGATTCCCTACCGATTTGAAAAGGAGTAAGCGCTGTTCGCTTTTATAAAGAGACATAGTACGGCACCTTTTCTTATTGCTAAATAATAAAATATACATTTGTCTTGAATTAAAAAAAAAAAACAAACAAACAAAAACTATGATTCACTGTTTGACTGGACAGTTTTACTTTTAAAGCAAAATGTAATCTTATATTTTATGGATATTTCTAAGTACAAATATATGCGTGTATATGAAATAAAAAAATTCCGATCAATTGGGCGTTTACATACATTATTAATATAGTATAAAATTAGGATTTAAGATCATATTCAAAACGTGATCATACACTATATATGTCTCTACCTTCAGGATATTTAGCACTATGCAACAAATATTGTATTTAATTGAAATTTTAAATTTAAATTCAGTAATTAATTACTTTATTATATATATATATATATATATATATATATATATATATATTAAAACGAATATTTTGCAGCATATCTGCTGGAGCGCTTTCGTTTATGGCTCTTCAGGCTTGTAAGCATTTACAAGCCTGGGGAACAATTACACATTCAGCATTTTTATTATGCTTTTATTTTAGAATCTTTTTATGGTATCACACAAAGGTTTTTTTGTTTTGTTTTTTTGTTTTTTCGGTCAGATCCACTTACCAAAGTTTGATTATATGTACAAATATGAGAATTTTTTGATGTGGGTGATGCCATGTTCAGACAGACAAACTTTCAGCACTCCTATATATATAAGATAAATTCCTATATTAAGTGTTACATTTGTTTATAATTTTATTAGATTTATTTAAAGAAAGACAATTAAAAAAAAATGACCAAATAAGTGAAATTAAAATTAGAATCTTTTTAAGTCGTTAATTAATTAAACATTGCAAAGTTATAATTCATTCTATAGAAATGATTCTCGATTTCACCAACAAGTTGTCATTATTGCCAATTTATATTGCTTTGATTGAATATATATATATATATATATATATATATATATATATATATATAGTGTAACCGGATATAAGAGACCCGGATATAAGAGATTTTCTCTGGTTCCAAATTAGAGCCACACTTACCTAAACAAAATAGACCAAACCCGGATATAAGAGACTTCTTCTCCGGTCCCGACAACTCTCTTATATCCGGGTTACACTGTATATATATATATATATATATATTTACTTTATGAAAAACTAGGTAATCCGTATGGAGGATAAAATACACAGAGCTGTGGTGAAATAATTTATTAAATGGAACCTTAAAGTGGTCTGTTTTTATTTAAATTAAAATATATATATATATATATATATATATATATATATATATATATATATATATATATATATATATAAGATTAAACACAGCGCCTTATATCATCGTTACTTTTAATTAAACTCATAAAATATTGCATCTGTCTTTAATTTTCACAATTAAAAATTTAACAAGTACGCTGGATTTCTAGACCATCTCTACGTTCGTTTGAGACAGGTTCTGATAGCGCGTGCCTCTCATACGGAAAATGAAACTAAAAAAAAAATTAGTGCCCAAGGACCACTCAAAGTAGACATTTACTGAAAAGTGTGCATGCTATGGACGTAAAAGAAGGTAGTTGGAAGTGAAAATTATGAGGTTATAGAGAATATATGACGATTAACCCTAGACTTGAAGCAGTTATGATTGCAGTGTTCAACACGCGGATGTCTGTTCCACGAAGTAGCGGTTCTTGGAAATAAGCTGAGTAGAACTTCCTTCTTCCAAATGGAATACGGGGGAAATTTGGGTGATTCAAATTTTTGGACTTAGCATGGAGAGACTTAGTTTTCGTCTATAAAGGTCTGACCTGGTAGCACTAAAGCATGGTGATCGTCGGAACATTTGCCATAGATATAGCGATATGCTCGCGACGTTTCGTCTGTGGGGAAGGGTCAGTAGGGGATAGAAATAAAGTTATCCCCAAGAAAGCCGCGTAAACGGCTTTAAACTATGTCAAGGCTGGAAAGCTTCAGCGCAAGCATTGCATTAATATTCGATTTTTACTCCGACTCTTGTAATGATAAAATATGGTAGGAGCCAGGGACTTCTTGGGGCTATAAAATGAGCTAGCATTGTTCCTCAAAACCTTTTTGCAATGGATCTGTATATGAGTTCCACATGAGGTCGAGAGTGAACTTGAGTCCCAAGCAGACGTTCAAAAGAAGGAGCCTCATTGAGATGATAACCGTTCATAATGACTGGCGAAAATTCAGGGTCTGCTCACTGATGATGAAACAGTTTGTCCTAGTGAGTTATTAGAGCGACCTCAGAGGAATGATCCGTTGCTAGGCTCTGATCATCTTGATAACTGGAGGTACATCCATGAACTATTTTATTGGTAATGTAACAAAGATGGAAGTTAAAAATTGTAAGAGTGAATCGTTAAAATTGAGCGATTGCGATAAAGTAATTGCGGATAAAAAAAAAAAATTAATTTAAAAAAAAAAAAAAATATGTTGAAAATAACTAAAATTATTTAAAAAAATAGAAATGAAACATATTCCCATCCCCCAAAATAAATCTAAAAATTGGGTCTATTTACAGATCTTTACAAATATGTTTGCATGCACCCACTTACACATTTTTGCATTTACTCGTTTATACCTCCCTATGTGCGAGTGTGTATGTCTGTGTGTGTGTGTGTGTGCATTGGTTTTTCAACGAAAGCACACTTTGCAATTGCAAATATTAAAGGATATAATACCTACAAGTATGTCTCACCTTCATCTCCCTTTTTAAAAAAAAAAAAAAAAAAAAAAAAAAAAAATTAGTAAGGACACTAAAGGCAACACATTTGTTCACTTTCTTTTCTAGGACACGCCCCAGAAAACGAGTATCACAATATTCCCATAAAAATAAATTTCATCAGAACTTTGCAATGACATCAAAACAACACATTACGTCCTCGACTAAAAGTAACGTTAAGTGCCTTCTGAATATGGTACACAGATTATCGAAGAATAATTCGTTAATTTGTTCAAACATGAAATCCTTCTCCATGCAGCAAATATGCATGTTTTTTAAGCAAAATGTTTAAAAGGTATAATTTGCCTTTGCAAGTTTAATTGATAGACAAGAATTTTAGAAATGACGATATGTCGACTGAGATAAAGAAATATTTAAATTTGTATGAGTAACGATGACATTTTATCAAGCTCAAATTCTTTTCTTTTTTTAATTTTAGAAGTTTTTTCTTGATTTATAAACTATGATTAATTAAAAATATTCCATGAATTACAGGAAAAAATCGGAATTTTTTATGAAAAAATTAATTGCTTTTCAATGAATATATATTTTAATTTAATTCCCTATCATAACTTTAAAGTTTAATTCGTCCAAAATCGTTTTTTTTTTTTTTTTTTTTTTTTTTGGAAAATAAAATGAACAATTAGATCTAGTATGAGAAACAGATTTCTAATGTTTAAAAAATTTTAACAAAGCAAGAAAACCCAGATTTCCAGTAGATGGAGCTACCGTTAATTTAAAAAAGTCACTGCAAATTCCTTCTTTTGCGGTAACTCTTTCTGCATTCATCTGCAAACAGTTCTAATTTACATGTTACAAAAAACATTTGAATAGTCTCAAGACATAAATGATACAAATGTTCTGGTACACGCTTCCTTTCAGTTCTTGCTTTTGTATTTTTTTTTTTTTTTTTTCCTGAGGCAAATTTTGTAAGCGGTGTCAAGGGGAAAAAAGCAACCTTTGTTTACGTTCCTCTTCGGGTTGCAAGGTGAGATCATGGCGAGAATTACTTTCCCGTGCTTTCTCTCTCAATCTCTCTCTCTCTATCTCTCTTTCTCATTTTTTCTTTCTTTCTTTCTTTCCCTCATTTCATTTCTTGAGACAAATTAAACAGAATTAGTTAAAAGTCGCATATTGATTGTTCAATCACCGGAACTGTCCTTCTTACTCATGCTACACTTTCTCAATTTCCGTCTTTTCTTTCTCTTTCCTTTTGGCTTTTTGTGTCTTTTTTTTACTTTTCTCCGTCGGTGATTTTTCTTTCGTCTGTGCGTTTTTCTACCCGATTTCCGTCGTGGTTTTGCGACGGGAATTCTCTCACCGGAAGTAGAAGTGTTGTACGTTACTATTTCAGTTTTGATTTGAGATCTCTTCAATTCATGAAGCAGGTTTGACCTCAGCTCTTTTGACTTTGTAGCTCCTGTGTTGTTGCCAGTAACACGCCCGGAACTCTTGGCCAAGACAGCAGCAAAAACCTTTTCAATGCTAGATCCAGGGGTAATCCCTGCTGCCGAAACAGAAGACGCTGTTGTAACTTCCTCAGCCATCTTGTGTACAACATCCCTACTTCCGTCTAACCTTCATTTAGACTTGGTCGATACACACGCAACTGGTTCGCGGCTAATGTATCGCTCGTATGCGCAGAAAGCTCCATAACAGTGTTGAATGACTTTTCGAAACATGACAATGTCTTTGTAGATAAGCTTGCATTCGCTGTGTGTGTTACGACACACGGCTCTTTGAAAGACGCGCGGAAAACGATTCTCATCCAAATGAGCAACCCAGTCCCAACGACATTTTGAAATCCAATTTACTTCCGTAACTTGTACAGGTTCCATATCTTCTTCCTGTATAGTGATACCCTGGTTCAAAAATGTCTGCAGAAACTGCAAAAGACGAAAAGTAATGCATTTATTATAAATACACCAATTCACATCCAACCACGTATATATATATATATATATATGAATGGGAAACGACACAACCACTCGAATCCGACGATGCCCGTTTACTAAGGCGGCTAGCCAATCCCCACTGCAGACGCCTGCTCAGACACATTTGTGCTGAGCGGTCTTTAGTCACACTTTTCGGGAGCGAGCGCGCTATCCAGTTTGAACAAGTATAGCGCGCTCAAACCCGCGGTCACGATGACTTGCGACTAGCACAACTACCGATGGCTCCTAAGGATTCCGTCTACCCAATTTCACTCACAAGGCTTGAGCCAACCCTACACACACTTTTCAAATGTGCCACACGCTGAGATAGCCTCCTCGAGTCTGATAACATCAAGAAGTCACTTTCCTGACAGATCGACCATTTGTGAGACTCGAACCTGGGTTTCCTGGTCAGAAAGGGAAAGTTCTAACCACTCGACCACATACATATAGCAATAAGGAATAATGTCGGATTAAACAAATCAATTAATTGCTTAAAAATTACTTTGCTTACATTTCGGGTAGGAAAATAAAGCTAACATATATAGACTTCGAAAGATACTAAGGATAGGTGTACATTCCTTGAGTAGGTAACTGAACGTTGGTTTACAACGATGGGTTCCCGTGGCGTAATCGGTTAGCGTACATTCTGGCCTAAAAAAGGGATTGCCTCTAACTGGCTTTATTGACCTGCTTGTAGTGAAATGATTAAATATATATATGAGTATCCTGAAAGGTTTCCCCAATATTGACTTGTTAATACCGATTTTATTGTTAAAATCTTAACTCGCATAATAATTTCTGTAAAAGTAAATCAATTTAACACATTATGTATTTAAATGTTTATAAAGATTTTTTTCATGATGAAATTTGTGTGGAATTAAAAATAGAAAATTAAAAAATTCAATAGAATCTCTAATAACAAAAGAGAAAACAGTGGTGGAAACAGCAAATATTTAGGAAAGAAAAAGAGAGAACAATATGAAAAAGAAAAGAAAACAAGGATAGGAAAACTAGAAAAATTCGGTAAAATATGGATATGAATGAATAAAAGAAAAGAAGAGTAAGGAAGTTAAAATAATGGAGAGCAAGAAGAATGTGAGCAAAAAAAAAGTGAGCAAGGATGTGAATAATATATGACTGAAGAGAAAAGAGTAAGGATATGTAACAAATGTAAAGTCCACTGACCCGAGACATGTTCGGTTGTCCGTTGGGTTGAACCTTGACACAAACGGTTTGAACATTCATAACATCCGATTTGTACTCGCAGGTCTCTTTCCCCTTGCATGTTCCCGTCCTTCGAAGTATGTGAACCACTTTTGTCGCCTGGTGGCACGTTTGTTCCAATTTCGTTGTGCACTGTACGTGGTAAATTGTCTGCGGATATCGCGACGCGTCGAAATCTTCGTTCACTTTCGACGCACACTCCGAATCTGAGTAATCCTCTATATTGGGTTTCACTTCGTTAACGCTGGTTGGCGTGGAGATGGCAAAGAACTTCAGGCCTGGACCCTGTTTATATTTGACGGCTGCATAAAACATCTTTTCACTGATCAAAACACCTCCATTCGAGCTGCGCATTTTTAACGACAGCATGAAAAACAGCATCTACAAAAGACACAATGAAAGAGAGAAAAATGAAAATCTGTTTTTAGATCAATAAAATCTTCAATAAGATGTAAAAATAAATAACAACATTCGTAAGAATATAAGAGACTGTTATATTCCGTGCTAATAGGAATCTATACTTGAAAAACAAGGTGGATAAAATAAGTAAAGGTTTATTGTAAAAAAAACAAAAAAACAGTACAAGAATAAACGTAACAGTTATGCACAAGGTCGTCGCAAGTCAATCCAGTAGTGAGATTGGAAGATCAGTAGTTCTCGCGTAAGTCCGAGTCGTACTCCACAGATCCTTGCTAGAAATATTTACCAACCTCTCCACGTGGTAGAATGTGGCACAAGGTCGAATTTAATGTGGGGCAATCCGAGTCCGTAGGTTCGGCCAAACATTTCACCGTAAACGAATTCGGGTCTGTCTACCTCCCCGGACGCGACTGCCCTTCGGCATAGCCTCGTCCAGGTTCCTCTCTGTCTGCCCGAAGGCAGAGAGTTCGACAACAGCTAAGAGCTGAGTAACAGGTCCCAGCTAGTATATTTAGCTACCCCCACCACGAGGGTTGCATGTGGCACAAGGCCGGTTTAACGTGGGTACTCCGAGCCCGTAGGCTCGGCCAAAAATATTCCCATTCGAACCCGTATAAACGGGTTCAGGGGCAGTCTACCTCCCCGAACGAGACTCTGCCCTTCGGGGTGCACCAACACTAGTTCTTTATTGCCATCAAACACAGTTCGCGTCACGTGGAATTCATATATATGTTTCATTGCTAAAGATGATGTTAAAATAGGTGGTTCTTTCTACCGCTCCAGAAAGTAAGTGACCCCCTCTTTACATGTTCTCTTTACAAGAGCCGAATGTGACCAAAAATGTAAGTAATCCTGTTATATCTGAGCTGGAGCTGCCCAATCTTCATTTTCCAGCTTTAACAGAGTTCAAAAACGCCTATGCAACGTTATGAACAATCCATTACCATCAACCCTACAGCCCTTTTCTCCACTGAGGAAAAATCGAAAGTTTATCGCTAATCTTTCGCTGTTCCTTTGAAAATCTACAGACGATGTAAATTGCTTTGTTTCACAAGTTCAGACCTTTATAATTAAGACTCGGAAAACTACGTACACAGAATCGAATCATCTTCATTCCTTTCTTATTCCATTTACAATAAGTAAATTCAAATTAGATAGCTTCTTTCTAAGGAGTGTAGTTTGTCAAATAGACTCCTGAGAGTGATGTTTCTATGATCACTACATTATTAACATCTTTGAAGATGTTAATAATGTAGTCTAGAGTCAACTGTTATCTTAAATATAATCATGACCTGAACTTATTCCCACCTCTTACACCCGACAGCCTCATTCAGCAACGTTGAGAAGGTGTTGGACCTTGTATTAGGTGAATATTAGTAAAAACAATAGGTACCAAAAGTCTCGAAGATGATTATTGCTACAAAGAATTCAATACTTATTTTGCATTTCATTTTTGTGATCTCATGTCAGTATAATATAAGCTTAGTGAATATCTATATGTAAGATTTACTCATTGAAATTTCGATTTTAGTACTTGTACTTCTCTTTGGGAATGATTTTATCTGGTCTCATATTTTTTAACCATACTTTGATAAAAGCCCCATTTCTAACAATCACAGGGGAGTGAATTAGAATCGAATTAATTAAAAACAAAACTATTTTGGTAACTATATATCGCTATTGCTATATCGAAAAACCCACTTACGGACGAAACATTGTATGATCACATGTTTTTCTAACATTTTTCTAGAGGATTTTTGAAAAAGAAAGAAAGAAAAAACACTTAATTTGCGATTGTAGAAGTTAGATGGGAACCTGTCTCCTACGGTGGGTTTTATTCAGTATCCTTTTAACATCCGCATTTTTTTTTTTTGTTGTTTTACAGGATTACTAATATACCGTTTTAATAGTTGTTTTGATGTGTGGGAAACGAAACAGTTATGGGGGCAGAAAGCAAAACTGGCTAACCGAATTCAAATTCCGGCCTAGTCTTCATACATTCACTTTCGTATTGGTAAAGGCATGAATACATCTCTTCCCCCCAGCTATCGGTTAAATACTAAGGTAGACTGCCACACTAGGAGAAAGAAAACTGAATTCAAAACCGTGAAGAAGCCAAGAGAAAACCACCCCACTATTTGTTACTAATAAATCAGGGCATTTCGCAGATAATAAAGAAAAGGTACTTACGGAAAGTCACGATTGCCTACATCCTACGGTTTTACATTAAAAAAAATGCAATATCTAATACAAAAGGATAGGGTGGAACTTGCAATAAAATACACCTTCTATTATAAATATTTACTAAGCTTAGCTTGCCACAAAGCGACCCGGCCTGTGTTGTGACAATCTTTCACGTGTTTGAATCCTACCTGTGTATTTAAATAATGAAAGTCATTCAATTATTTTAGAAAAAAACAACATGAACATTAATTATATATTTATATATATATATATATATATATATATATATATATATATATATATAAGGTAGTTATAAAATAATGACATATAATGTTTTTTTGACGTTTAACGTCAAAAACGACATTATTACGTCATTATTTTTGCACCAACCTTATATATATAATTAATGTTCATGTTTCATATATAAACACGGTGTGTATTTTGAAAATATAATATGCAGCCATTTTGAACTAAAGAAATTCTTGTTCAAAAGCCCGAGGAGGAGTGGAAACCGAGCGATAGGCGAACCTAAAAGCAGAAAAATTTCGTTAGAAAATAAAAAGAGTACAGAACTGTTATGTAATATCAGTCCTCCTATATGCCATTGAATGTTGGACAATCTCGTGACAAATGAAGAAAGAAACCCCTGTGGCAACAGAAATGTGGTCCTACAGAAGGATACTGAGAATACCATGGACTGAACGTGCGAGTAACAACGACGTTTTACAGAAAATTTAAACGAAAAGAACGCTTAGATTTAGAATCAGAAAGAGACATAATCAGAAAAAGGAGACTTGAAGAATTTGACATTCACAAAATATATTGAAAGCAAGAAAGCCAGAGGGAAAACGGCGAGTAACCTAACGAGCTTGTGAAAATGGATGACAGAACAGAGAGTATAAAGGATAATAAAAAGATAAATATTGTTAAGAGCCAAAAAGGATAGGAAGCTATAGAGAGCCATGATCGCTCACGTCCTGAGGGGAAACCGTACGTAAAAGACGAAGAAATAAGACTTAATAGATATCAACAGGGAGGAGTAATGGATAGCGGCTCGGATTGAGGAATCGGAGAGCCGAGTTCGAACTCCAGTCGAATCCATTACGTTCACTTACGTGCTAATACCCTTGGGAAAGGTGTGAATCCTCTTCTTCACCCCCTCCCACCAGCTGTGGGTAAATAGCAGAAGAGTCCAGTTGCCTTGGATGGCAACTGGTCCACCGCAAAAAGAAATGGCAATCTACTGCGGGCAAAAACATTTTCTTCTGTCTCTCATGTACCTTTCGATACATGATCGCCTAAGCGTGTATCACTTATGGCACATAACTGACTGAGTAGACGTCAATAGCAGTTACAGAAAGTAGATGTCACCGCAAAGTAATCGCAGAGTTAATTTCTACAAAACTAAACACGAACATTGCTTTACACAGCCAAGTATAGGAAGTAAATTTATGGCAACGCGTATCACCAACTGTCTGCAATTTCAGACCTGTTGACTGCTGTCCGATATTAACAGCTGTCGATGCAATTCTGCCATATTGTACGAAAAAGGTTAAAAACTGAGAATAATACGACTGTTAATGGTGAGGACAGTGGCTCATCGGGTAGGTTTTTCCTTCCACGACTATATATTTATTTATTTAATATAGATATTAAATCTCATTACCACTTACAAAAGGTTTAGTTAGTCAGACAACGTCGGAAAATCGTTTGATTCTGTTTTATTCAATCATTTCAAGTTACTATAACATGCAAAATGAGTATAACAGCTCGACACTTTTTAAGAGAAGAGATTGAAATCACTACTTTTAGCCTGGCACAAGGCAATGATTATTAAATCCAGTGCAGGATTAATAGTTGGTTATTATTAATCTTAGATTAACTTAGCACTAGATAAAAGAAATGGGAAAACACCGCGAGAATCGAATTCATTATTATAGTTTTTTTTTATTTAAATAAATATAGATTAATCGGATACAGAGCTATAAGTAAAGATTGCTATACGAAGCTGAGTTCCGTCTGACACAAAACTACAAGTATAGAAACTCTAGTAAGAATCGAACTCAACAACAATGACCTACCAGAGACAAATTCGTTCATCATTAATATCATAATCATAAATATTACCCCACAGTGAGGGACCCCCGCGGGCTTACTTGCGAATTTAACCGGTTGTAACGAATTGTTGACTGTACTATCGCTGCTAATATTTTTCGTGGGAAGCTATTCCGAGGGATTTTTTCCAGTCCTCCTCCATCAGTGTGTGATCAAATCTTCCTCTTTTGATGCGATAATGAAGCAAATGCCTGTTTATGGCTATAGCATCAGTAATTTTACAGTATATTGACAACAAGCAAAACCAAAAAAAAAAAAAAAAAAATTAGGTAATGAGCTTAACGCAAAGAAAAGAAAAAAGTCAATATGAAAAAAAATATAGTTTTAAAATGAATGACAAAATATTTCAGTAACTTGAACGCTCCCTGTAAGTCCAGCAAAAGCACAGGAGTGGTTACTTTTTAAAACATGACAATAGACTGTAAAATGCCTATTCAACATTAACTACGTCTAAATCTCCCTCATGTATGTGTGGAAGACGCTGAAGCATTCCATAAAACTAGCTTTCCGTGACTTCATGCATATTCATAAGTACACGTGACCCAGATATGTTCGTGTGACGTATTTTCTCCTTCCCCGTGACCTTGACGCCATCTCAGAGATCGGGGGTTGGGGGGGGGGGGTCGTCCATGTCACTCTGACTCGCTTGAGAATGGAAACAG